CCCCAAAACCCCAAAACCCCAAAACCCCAAAACCCCTTAGACTTGGTCGTAGATTGGCGGTTTTTTAGAAAAATAAAAAATGGATGAACTAGTCACCCGCATGCAAGGACTTGAACAAACAGCTGAGAGTAAGAGGAGGAGGGATAAGTGTAGGTTATACGAAGAATTATGAAGTCTGTTTTAAGAGAGTACAGCTCAAGATATTGCAGGTGCGGTTTTGGAGTGATTGTGTAGAAATTTAAAGGTGTCATGGACCAAGAGAGGGATGGTAAGGGTGTTTGAGGGAGGTTTAGGCAGGAGAGAGGGGTTGAAGAGGGAGATTGTGGTGAAAGCGAAGAGAGCGAAAGCGTTGAATGAGGTGTTAGAGAAGAGTTAGTGCAGGTGGTGATGTTTAGTTAAGAATTATTATCAAGAAGAGAGGGAGTATAAGAAGGATGTAGGTTGTGATGATGAAAATAGAATTTAAAATTTTATACCTCGATTCAGCAGCAATGAGTTGAAGATCTTGAAGAACGCAAGAAAATCAGCTCTCGAGCTAAGAGCGGTAATTTTGTATCTAAATTCTAGATAAAACTTTGGAGGAGATAAAAGAGAAAATTAAGGACAAAAGAAGACAAATAGGTATATCTCTGCTTACTCAAAAATAGGTCAATACTCTTCCTACCTAAACTTGACAGTAACCTGTGAGATTCTGCAAACTCAGAATTGAGATGATCCTATCAACGCACTCCGCTTTATTTTCACTAATATTCTCAAAAAGTCACCATCCAGCCATTTCACTGCTTTAGTTCAGATAAGTAATTCCTTTAAGCTCTCGAAGCATTCAAAATATTATTCAAAGCCATTTCAATTTCTTATTTAGGTATAGACCCAGCTTCTTCAGATTCCAAATTCAGCATACTCGCATTTGAACCTCATATTACAGTCCCTGAGGAGGTATACTCATGTCTCGATAATGGAGACCTCAAGACGTTCTGTGAACTAGTCAGACAAGAGTTCTTAAGAGAGTGCAAGTCCCATTAGACATCCACAAGGGATGACTGACTACATCCTTTAAGACTCAAGGACATAAAATCAGCATCATATTATATAAAAATTCTCTCTAATCAGCACAAGCTTCAAATTATTCAATTTCTCTGCTTAAAAACGGGGTTTTGGGGTTTTGGGGTTTTGGGGTTTTGGGGTTTTGGGG